ATTTGAAAAATAATGTGTTTTTTGAACATTAAAGCATGTCAACATATTCTGTTACACCAAATACACCAAATAATGACCTTTAAAAAAGCATCATATGACCCCTTTAATATCTCATATTTTTTTTACCATAATCAAACATCCTGTTTTAAAATGAATACTAAATATATATATAAGTGCTGTCAAACGATTAATCGCGATTAATCACATCCAAAATAAAAGTTTTTGTTTACATAATATATGTGTGTGTACTCCACGTCTTCTCACTCTGCACTCCCTCACAGTAGTCTTGTGTGACATTATGGCGTGTGGGATGGGTAGTATTACTTTTTCTCATTCAGTATTGGATGCCAAAGTCAATGTTGCTGGTATGATAATGATTTATGTATAGGATTATCATTTTTGTGCTTTCTCAGAATAAACCTGATTTCTTTACAGAAGTTAAAGGGGTCATATGATGCGATTCATAATGTGTGTGTGTACTGTGTTTATTTATCATGTATATATAAATACACACACATGCATGTATATCTTTCAGAAAAATATGTTATGTTTATATATTAAAGGGAGGGGGGTACAATGCTGTTTCATGCATTCAGAGTTGTTTACACTGTTAAAGAGTTGGATTCTCATGCTAAGCATAGACAAAGTTTCAAAAAACTATTTGGATGTATGACATGTATTTATGTGCCAAAAATCTTGCTTGCGGGTTCCTACAATATTTGGAGTTTTTTTTTTTTTCGATCGTGGCTCTTAATGACATAGACGAGGGTGGAACTCCTTATATGGGCATTTCTCCCGGAAGAGCACCCGCATCGACCAGAGTGAGAGCGAGATCGCGTCCATCAACGCGCTTCATCCGGCGGCAGCGCAGCACGGGCCTTGCTCGGGAAGAATGTCTCCAAAGAAGTGTGTTTTTGGTTGTAAGGGAAAGATAACATTGTTCAGCTTCCCGAAGAATCCAGCGTTATGTAAACAGCGGATGCAGTTTGTTTTCCGGAGCAGCAACGGAGTTTCACAAGTGTGTTTGTTGACGAACGTTTTATAAACAAGGCCCAGTTCGGCGCCGGAAGAACGCGCCCGGCATGCATCGACCAGAGCAAGAGCGAGATCGCGCCCATCAACGCGCTTCATCCGGCGGCAGCGCTGCACGGGACTTGCTCAGGAAGAATGTCTCCAATCCAAAGAAGCTTGTTTTTGGTTGTAAGGGAAAGATAACTTTGTTCAGCTTCCTAAAGAACCCAGCGTTATGTAAACAGTGGATACAGTTTGTTTTTCCGGAGCAGCAAGGGAGTTTCACAAGTGTGTTTGTTGAGGAACGTTTTATAAACAAGGCCCAGTTCGACACTGGATTTGCACATCGTTTGATACTGAAAGATGGAGCAGTCCCGGCTATAAAAGATCCCGGTCATGACAGAACTGCAGATGGTAAGTGAAATGTCTGTTTTGTTGGCATTTGGCGCCCAAGTGCTCGTCACTCTTTAGCTCCGCCCACGGCACGCCTCCAGGAGATTTCTTTTATAAATATGATAACACTAAAGACTTTTTGGAGATATGAAGGATGCAGTACTACTCTATAGGTACTCAAGATTAACATGAGATTGGGTTAAACTGTGTGTGTTATGCCCCCTTTAAATATATTTATATATAATATAAATTATATGAATATAAATATAGACATGTAAATACAAGTAAACATTTTCTAAATATATACTGTTTTGAGTGAGCATTCATAATATACATAATAAACACATATATTTTGTGTAAACAAAAACTTTTATTTTGTATGCGATTAATCGTTTGACAGCCCTAATATATTTTTTTCAGTTTAACAGCGCCCTCTATCTAAAACAAGAAACAATTGCACTTTTAATTCTGCTGTTACTCAATACATTGACCTCAATTTAAAGGGAAATGATGCTTGTGCTCATCCAATAAATTTATTTTTAAGGCTGAGAAAGCACTTTTTATGGTTATTCTGAGAAGGAAGTTCCGTGTATTGAAAGGAAGGAACCATAAAGCTGGATATGCAACAGGCAGCAACTGCACACTCGACTCATTGTCAACGTTTATTGTGAACAACAAACAGCAAAAGAAACAACAAACAAAAAACAAGAAAAGGATGACAAACATATATCAAATGCATATCATACAAAAAAAAAAGATACATAGAAGGACGAGCAGAAAAACACAATGGCAGAATCGAGCACCTCAGCAGCACAATGCAACAGTCTCTCAAGACATGCAAATAATTAAGGTACGAAGAGAAACTCACATGATGCACATTTGCAGTGTGATTTGGTATTCATATAATCAAGAACAGAGTATTTAAATGAAACAATACTATACTACAACCCCTGCTGGCAGCACTTAGTGTGGCATATTGCACGTGATTGAAGCAACAACAAAAAAATCGTAAAACCTATGCTATAGGTAGTTTTGTAAGTTACCTTGGTAAAGAGGCATCAGCTAAGAACATAAACGTAAATAAAACATCTTCAACGGGCCATCTGCATTACATCTATACAGACCGAACTGATGCCAAACAACCCTAAATCATGCCTGGGACATGCAAATATTGGATCAGTTATGCAACAAATTAGCTTTTGTGGCAGGAAATGGTTTCAAGTTGTAAAGAAGCTGGCTTTGACCATTTCCATGAGTAGTAACCCTGGTGACTGCAGTGATAGCCATCTTGGTACAGTATACAACTGCCATAAAAACATATTTAAAACGCATCCTAACTAGCTGTGGCTTCCAGTGTCTTTGTGGCTGAGAAAACAAACCCAGTATTAGCAGAGTGTAAGAAATAGTGCATCTGACCTCCGAGGCCGTTCCAATGCGCTGCTCAATGCAGTATTATATGACATAAAACAACAAAAAAACAACCAAACAAACAGAAAACACTCATGTGTCATTCCCTGAATCAACAGTGACCTCTGCCACGTCACCAACATCCACTTCCTCGCCTTCCTTGTTTGCTTTTGAATTGTTTAGAACTGTTTGAAAAGCATTTGACCCGGTTCACCACCCATATACTTTCCCTGATTACTCTGTAGTCCCTGATATACGATGCCACAGTTCTGTTGTGGTGTCAGACAATACACTTATAAAACATATATGGACCTTTTATATGAAATATATCATCTTGGACATAACATCTTAAGCCACATAAAACACATTGCACGCATCATGATCCTCATGATTCCATTCACTTAAAAAAGCATTTTGTATATATATATATATAGAAGTCATTTTTTGATCTATGATCTAGGCTTGGATAAAACGAAAAGCACAAATCAACAACAGCAAGAATTATACAGTAATTTAATACATACGATCAAAAGTAGTATCACTGAAAGCTTCGTTTTAAATATGCACTTGATTCCTCAGGCACTGTAGTACACTCTGTAGTACAGAGTCTTATTCCTCCACAGCGAGTATGAGTTGTCGAACTTCAGCTGGTATGTACCTTCTCCTGGAAACTCGTGGCTCCCGCTCTGAACCGCCAGATGACTGTCCTGACGGTACACAGGCAGGATTTCTCCCAAGTTCGAGTTGGCAACTGATTTAGAGCCCTTCTCAACATCTCCAGGAACCACAGGGCCTGTTTGACAAAACAATTGGCCATATATCATTGAAAGTATTCCTTACATGCATCTGCTTATTTTAAGCTTTGTACAAAAAAAGGTTTCACAACATTTAACATTAAATATTTTTTTATTTCCTAAAATAACTGGTTACAATTTAATACAAAAACTTGACTCCAAACTTCAAAAATAGTGTATACATTTAGAAATATATACAATTTTTCTCAAATAATGATAAAACTAATAATAATTATTTTTTTCATTATGGAAATGAAAATTGGAGCGAGAGTGCTGCAGCATCATAATTGTCACACTGCAAAAACACCCTAAAAGTAAGCTTTTTATTTACTGAAAATATAACAGTTTTATTTCATTATTTGGATTTAGGCTTAAATATGACCTGGACAAAATATTGACTGGTTTCGTGAGAGTCACCCAGTTACCTAATAGTCACTGTGGAAAAACTGGCCATAATACACTACACGATGCAGAATCATACACTACCAGATTTTAAACTTATTCCGATCACAACAAACTCATGCAGAAAAGTGTGCGTTGTTGCTAGAAGACACATTACAAATGAAAACAATGTGTTCTAAAATCGGCTGAAAATATCAAACATGTTTGATATCCTCCGACTGGATGGAATCAAAGTCTGAAGCTAGGGGAGTGCGATATATGTGACCCTGGACCACAAAACCAGTCTTAAGTCACTTGGGTATATTTTGTAGCAATAGCCAAAAAAACATTGTATGGGTCAAAATTATCGATTTTTCTTTTATGCCAAAAATCATTAGGATATTAAGTAAAGATCGTGTTCCATGAAGATATTTTGTAAATTTCTTACCGTAAATATATCAAAACTTAATTTTTGATTAGTAATATGCATTACTAAGAGCTTCATTTGGACAACTTTAAAGGCGATTTTCCTCAATATTTAGATTTTTTTGCACCCTCAGATTCCAGATTTTCAAATAGTCGTATCTCAGGCAAATATTGTCCAATCCTAACAAACCATACATCAATGGAAAGCTTATTTATATATGTATAAATCTCAATTTCAAAAAATTGACCCTTATGACTGGTTTTGTGGTCCAGGGTCACATATATCATCTGCGATAATATCGTAATTGTTGTTTTAACGATGTGCGATTTTACATTATCGAGTATTTTACAAAAAAACATTCAAAACACCTACAGAGCGCACGCATACATTACGTGAAGTCTAGACGAGTGCGTTATTTCACTGCATGATTCAGTCTATAAAAATACATTTAGAATGATCACAAATTCAAGACATGGGGGCAGAAAAAGTATATATTTATACCACTTCATATAGTAAATCAATTTCACACGAAGAGTGCCGTTTTTTCTCCAAAATGATTGCAAATGTGATTGATTTTTTACAACAGTTCAAAAAACAAGAAGTTAATTAAGAGACTTACGTTTTAGACACCATATTGCCAGTTTTTGCACTATTTCGACAACAAAAATAATTCCAAACACAGCCACAACACTGTTTTGTGTCTCCGAGCAACATGACTGTTTCGTTTCTGAATGAATCAACCGTGACTTGCTGCCACCTACTGGCGGTTTTAGTTTAATATTTATTTAAATAATTTCAAATATAAATTTTTTATGTTTAATATACCAAAACATTATTTATGCATTTGTAACTGCAGGTTAAAGCGTTCATGTCCTGCATTAAACGGTGTGTAAAAACATCTGAATTCCACTTCAGATGCAGCTGTTTTTTTCTCTGCATTGCAAAGATTAATTTTGTAGATACTGATTTAATTTTCTTGGTAATAGCTCAAATGTCTTATTATTCCAATTCACTGATTAAATGTAAGAACTTGATTCAAAAGATAATGCACTTTTAGAAAAAAATGGCTTTATAAAGGTAAAAATGTCCATAAAAGGTAAAAATCTATTTAAACTTATTGGAAAAGATTAATTTCGATCGGTGTGAACTGACCACCACACAGAATATGAAGAATATCAAAAACTTTAAGAGTCAGCTGTCCACGGTAGTCCTTAAGATACCAGCACAATAACACTCTTAGCAAAATATCGTCTAATTATTGTTATCGATAAAATCCCAGAAAATAGAGATATTATTTTTTGTCAATATCGCACACCCCTATCTGAAGCTAAAAACAAATCAGTCTCTGACCATCATAGACTACACGATTTTCTATGAAATCAGCCAACTCAAATCTACAGACTGGCTCTAACTTTTGGCAACTATTGTCAAGACTGTAAATCGGGACAAAAATCATGTTCCAGCCTTAATTTGTCAATTACAATTCAGGGCAACTGTGTGGACACACTAAGAATTCAAGGGACAAAAGAAGACAAAGCAACTCCTATCAATTTGTCTGAACAAAAGCAGGAAACAGTACAGGAAGTACTCCCTCACCTTCCAGGTCATCATCTTCATCCTCATCGTCACTGGATTCGCTAATGTGGACAGTAATGGCTCGGCTAGTGACTGGTGACCAGTCGAAGTAAACCCCAAAACCAATGTCATAGCCATCTGTGGCAAACTCCCAGCACACGCGCTTGGCCTCGGGGACAGTGGGCACGTGGACGGTCATTATGTCTCCACGATATACTGTCACCACGCTGTCCTTCTCCTGACGCAGCTTCGTCTTCAGCTCCTTCAGAGCCGCGGAGGTCCATGTGGATGCTGGTTTCATCGGAGGAAGAGCTGCAAAGAGATTAGTGATCGATTGATATTCTTTCATTTCACACTTGGATGGAGTAGAAATGTCTGAGAATATTTGCACAGCAGTGCATGTATTCAAACCACTCAAGATTCAAAAGAAAAAGACATTAATGAAAATGAAATAAAAACAATTAACCTATTTTTATAAAACAAAAATACAAATACACATATTTACAAACATATAATTAATTTAGAAGTTATAAATACACTGCATGTATAGTAGAATAATTCATGCAAGATGCACCTAATGTTGCTGCATAATTACACATTGGCTCACCCAGCAAATTGAAGTGTTAAAAAAATCACTACAGTATCACTACACTTACAAGGACATCAAATTCTAATAAATATTATCGATTATGTTGCTGTTTTTATAACAGCAACAACAACAATAGGGTCATTCCGTGTCAAATCAACCAAATTTCAGAAACGTACTCAGCTCAAATTTTTGATTTTGTCAATATTATTTCAGAAGAAAGATGAACATGTATAGTGAAGCCAAAATATTAAATGTCATTGATGTATATTTACTGAGTAATCCACTATTTTGTAGAGGAGGGTCAAAATGATTTTATTATTATTATTATTATTATTTATGCATTTGGCAGACTTTTTTTTAATCCAAAGCCACATACATTGCATTCAAGTGATAAATTTTATTGGTTCATGCAATCCCTGGGAATCGTACCCATGACCTTCGTGTTGCTATTAATAATAATAATAAATACCCTTTCACCAAAATAAACTAATAAATAGTTAATTAGCATAACTTCAGCTTATTGGTGATATGCAGACCTGGCACATTTATAATGAAATAAATTGATAAGCAGTCCTCCTGAGTTTGTATTGTATATCAATATCTTTTACAGCAGCTTTCATCATGCTTTATACAATCAGCGCCTAAATATCTGCTAGGCCTATATTAAACAACTTTTTTACTGCATACTACAGAACTTGGCCTATATAATGTACACTGCATGCTATTTTTGAAAGTCACGTGACCCGCCCAATAGCGACTTGAAAGAAAACGCACACGCTTATTCGGTTAAAGCGTCATATATAGAAAGATTCAAATTTTTTGGATGGTAAAACTAGCCTTTTAGGTTGTGAATGGCACATTACAAATAGCACAAACATCCTTCTTTTTTTCTGACAGCTCTGTTCTCGAGGGGCAATGATGAAAGATGATGAGGTTTCCCGAGCTGAGCTTCACCTCTCTAATAGGGGGTTTACTAACCTTTTTTCTCCCCAGGGTGTGAAGTACTGCTCTCCTGTGAGTCACCCGCCTCTGCCTTCCCCAGAGATGCACTGGGCTCCTATTGACAACATTACAATACATACTGTACATACAAGCACAGCGCTAAAGCTCACTTACTCACAAATATCTGACAGGCTTGAATTCACTGTACCTCGGTGGATTTCACGGATTCTCTGTTATTGCTGTTATCATCCATTTTAGTTTGGTTGTCCGGTTGTTTTACTGTCCGGGAAAGGTCTGTGCTTTGAATTCTTCAAAATGAAAGTGGGAAGGATGAGATTTACATACCTTTGAAATATAAAATAACCATTGTTGAGCTCCGATAAACCTGCACATACCTGTTTAAAGGGTTTGCTTCACAGTTTTTTGACGTTATCCCAGGGAAAGATGAAACAGACAGGGATGACAGTCTAGATTGAAGCTCTGATGTCTCTAGTTTCTCCATCTCTAGAGCAGCAAACACATGAAATATATAAACAATCATCACATTCATCACTATCTGAATAAAGATTCAGCTCATCAGATGAAAACTCTTACCTGACTCAGAGGTGGCTTTCAATGAACCTCATTAAAAACTGAAACAAAATCAGCAAGAAGAAATAAAATAACCCATACTGTACTTTAATTTTAAATGTAATGACATTTATGAATATAAGTAAGGCTGTTGTGCGCAGTCATCAACTGACACGTGAAGCACATACAAATCAGTTTTGACTCGTCGAGAAACTAAAGTGAAATTCACCATCAACCCATCAATCTCAGCATTCAAACCAAACCCGCCCTATGTGCTAAACCCACACGTACAGTATAGTTTGATAATATAATGTACACACACATACCTGCGGCGAGCGTGTGATGCTGTAGATGCAACAGTGTTGCCTGACAAATAACGTTTGACGCCCAGGAAGTCCGCTAATTTGTAAATACGTGCTTCTGAAGAGTAAAGTCTTTTCTGAATGGCTGCCAAACACATACGACTACACAATAAAAGTCCCCACAAAAGCATTTTTGGGAAGAAGCTTATTTCTGTTTCAAGAAAGGTTTTTAGGTGTGTGTG